CAGTCTGTGGCACCCACCGGGTAACCTATAGGCTATAAATAGGAGGTCGTAGTCGGCCTTCGCAATCTCTCTCGTGTCCTGCTTGTAAGAATATCTCCCAACGTGAGTCCTCTTTGGTGTTTTCATTTTTATAATATATATATTTTACATGTTTGTAGTGACCTTATTTTAGCATAACTATATGTCGATGTACTAAAGCTTAGACCTAACAATAATTGTGAATGTGAAAAAAAGAGGAGGTGGGGCAGTATAACAACGTAGCAATGCGCAAATCCAGTGAAGACAAACAAACATATAAGAAAACGAAACAAAGAGCACACACACGCGCACACACACACACACACACACACACAGCCGCCGCAGACGCCGCATCCTTTTCCTTTTTTTCCTATGAACTTTGACAAATTTATTCAAACAAAACTTCACATTTTCTTTTTTACTTGACAAATTTATTAAGGCAAAAGATCACAGGCCTACTCTTCAACTGAGGATTCACTGAGTATACATCTCGCTGAAGTGTGTTCAAGGTGGAAGTGAATAATCACTGAAGTCGCAAGAACAGTGAATTCAATCAGTTTCATAGCTGTTCGTGTTAACCCAATCGCCCCATATGCCAAGAATACATGCCTTGACCACTGGAATGCAACTTTATTTAATGTATTTACACGTGCATGGCTCTACAAGTGCTTAATCACCAAGGAGTCAGTTATTAATCCTACCCTTTTCACCTGTTTGTCCTTTACCTCAAATTTTGGAAAGGGTCTTTTGCATTATTTCATTGCCTTAAATGTCACCAAGATTTTGATAACAATTTCATAATCATAATATCAATAACACTAACAACAGTATCGATATGAATTGTATTAAAAAGAAAAACACAGTTTCCCGCCAATTCAAGGAATGGGGAAATCAGGATCGGTAACTAAGGTCTACTGATAGATTCCTTGGTGGCTGAGACATGTGGAGCCATCTGTATGTAACAAAATTCACAAAACAACAACAACAACAACAACAACACAGAGGCAAAACATTCACTTTAAGTTTCTGTGTCGGTATACTGCGTAAGATATGAAGATGTGAATTTAAAGTGAACCTTCTCGTTGATATTTAGCTCACTGGACCACCGAAGAGATAATGATAATGTGTTCACGTGCAGTCACTCACACGTAATTTCTTCTCTTCCAAGAATTATGGGTTTCTTTAAAACTGCCTTTCACACTGACACGTTGACTGAAAATTCTCCAGTGGCCGAAAGCAAGAAAAAGAAGAAAAAATCCTAGTAAAATATTAGTATCGAAGATGTGCGTCAAATATAAGCAATTAGAAATTAACGTCAGTTTTCTTCATTCCTGTTCTTCGCTCTCCTGAAGAATGAAGCTATTATTTTATTCACTGTTATTCATTATTATTCATCATTTGTCTATCCATTATTCTTTATCATTAGAGCTATTTACGATTTGTTATTTACGCTGAAATATTGTTGTAAAACCCTAATAATAAGTATATACATCCACGGAGAATGTACTGTATAAACGCATTCTTTTTACCTTCATAACTTGTATTTATGTACTGTTTATTCCTTGTGTATTTTGTCGTTTACGCCACCTGTGTTCCTCGGTCTCCTGCAGAATGAAGCTGTGCGCCGTGGTCGTGGGCCTCTGCTGCCTCGCCCTTGCTCCGGCGGGGACCCAGGCCTCCAGCGTGAAGGAGCGGGTGAAGAGGGACGGAGGCGTCATCACTGCTGGTGAGGGAGAGGGAGAGGGAGGGAGAGGGGAGAGAGGGAGAGAGAGAGAGAGAGGGAGGGAGAGAGAGCGAGAGAGAGTGAGTGAGAGAGAGAGAGAGAGAGAGAGAGAGAGAGAGAGAGAGAGAGAGAGAGAGAGAGAGAGAGAGAGACAGGGAAGTAGAGATCAAGGGAGAAGAGAGAGAGAGAGAGGGGGGGGGGAGAGAGAGGTAGAGAGACAGAGAGGTAGAGAGAGAGAGAGAGATAGGTAGAGAGAGAGAGATAGGTAGAGAGAGAGAGATAGGTAGAGAGAGAGAGAGAGAGAGAGGCAGGGAAGTAGAGATCAAGGGAGAAGAGAGAGAGAGAGAGAGAGAGAGAGAGAGAGAGAGAGAGAGAGAGAGAGAGAGAGAGAGAGAGGGGGGGGGGGTAGAGAAAGGGAGAGAGAGAGAGGTAGAGAGAGAGAGGGGGAGATAGAGAAAGGGAGAGAGAGAGAGAGGTAGAGAGAGAGAGAGAGAGGCAGGGAAGTAGAGTTCAAGGGAGAAGAGAGAGGGAGGGGGGGGAGATAGAGAAAGGGAGAGAGAGAGGGAGAGAATTAGAGAGAGAGAGAGAGGTAGAGAGAGAGAGAGAGAGGTAGAGAGAGGGGTAGAGAGAGAGAGAGAGGGGTAGAGAGAGAGAGAGGTAGAGAGAGAGAGGTAGAGAGAGAGAGAGGTAGAGAGAGAGAGAGGTAGAGAGAGAGAGAGAGAGAGAGAGAGAGAGAGAGAGAGAGAGGAAGAAAGAGAGAGAGAGGTAGAGGTAGAGAGAGAGAGAGGTAGAGGTAGAGAGAGAGGCATAGAGAGAGAGAGGTATAGAGAGAGAGAGGTATAGAGAGAGAGAGGTATAGAGAGAGAGAGAGAGAGAGAGAGAGAGAGAGAGAGAGAGAGAGAGAGAGAGAGAGCGAATGAGAGCGAACGAGAAAGAGACAAAGTGAGAAAGAGGGAGAACAGGGAAGAAGACAAAAAAAAGACAAAAACAAATTTAAAAAAACATAATCTTAATACTGCAGACTTTCTATTTTTTTTGTTCATATCGCCAATATTTGCCAACAGCTTTGATCGCCGCCGGGGCCCAGGCTGTAACGGCCGGCGCTGGCGGGGGCAGCTCCGACACGTGGGAGCTGCCTTCAGGAGTCCGGGTAAACTTTCCTGTATTTCAGCACGGTTCCCTCCCTCCCTCCCTCCCTCCCCCCCTTCCCCTTTTTCCCCACAAAATAAAAAAAAATCTTCCAGTATCAATTTTCTCTTTCTCGATCTTCATCATTCTCGTTTCCGCACACACCCTCCTCTCCCTCCCCCCCCCACTACCCCCCCCCCCCAAAAAAAAAAAAAAAAAAAAAAAAGATCTTACAACACCAGTGCTCGTTCTAGTAATCCATTCTTTATAAATTTCCGTAACATGTATTAAGGAAATTAGACACCAGGAGGCGATGAAAAAAAAAATCTTTTGTTCTTTCAACTGATATTCCTTATTCTCTGCCCCCCCCCCCTTCTCCTTTCCCGGTTAGGTCAACCCCAATAACTGCTGGCAAGATGGCTCTGGTCCCTGTCCCAACGGCAACTGCCTGGATAAGGGGCGTCAAGGCACCATCATTAAGGAGACGACGGTGTCCTGTCAGTGGTTCTGTGTCTGGAGGAGCCATTGTAAGACCCAGATCTGCTGCAATTAAATTTCTCGTGTTGTGGATCATGCGTACGAGCTTCCCATAATACATTTTAGGTAAAAATACCTTATAAATGAGACAAGCTAACAATGTATGTGTGTGTGTGTGTGTGTGTGTGTGCGTGTGTATGCGTGTGTGCATGTGCGTGTGGGGTTGTGCATCAACACACGCACTCTAAGCAATAAGATAATACCATATAGAATGTCGTTTACATTTATTCCTATTCCTGTGTCTTGGGATTACATTTTGTCTCTATGTGTACATATCTATATCTATCTATCTATCTATCTATCTATATATATATATGTATATATATATGTATATATATGTATTCTGTGATAGGTTTCGTTTCGGAGGTGAACATTAGACCTCCATCATCAGTAAAACTGTGAAAAAGTCAGTTGGACAATTAAGAATATGGATTTATAGGTTCTGTACAATTTGCAAAAGCGTAAAAATAGCTAAGAACATTATATACAAAGGCATAATGAAATCATAAAAAGAACGATATACTTTGAAAAATAACATATGCAAGAGAAAACTTTAAACAACTAAAACAGGTAAACTAACCAAAAGTGGGTGTTGGTGAGAGGGAAGGACTTTTGGGTGAATAAGGTTGTTGCAGTGGTTGTGTTGTTCAGTTCTGGTTTCATCTTCTGTATGATGATAAAGTTTATGCCTTCGAAACGTCTATAATAAAGATGAAATTCTTTACAACTGTGTTAGTTTACCTCTTCATGCTTATATATATATATATATATATATATATATATATATATATATATATATATATATATATAGACATATATATATATATAGACATATATATATATATATATATATATATATATATATATATATATATATATATATATATATATATATATATATACGTACATCCATATACAGTAGGAGAGCGAGAAGGAGAGAGAGAGAGAGAGAGAGAGAGAGAGAGAGAGAGAGAGAAAGAAAAAGAGAAAGAGAGAGAAAGAGAGAGAGAGAGAGAGAGAGAGAGAGAGAGAGAGAGAGAGAGAGAGAGAGAGAGAGAGAGAGAGAGAGAGAGAGAGACAGAGTTAGAGAAGAGAAAGAAAGTGAGAGGAGAGAGGAGGAGAGGGAGAAGAGTAAGAGGAGGAGGAGGGGGGAGAGCGAGAGAGAGAGATAGAGAGATAGATAGATAGATAGAGAGAGAGAGAGAGGGAGAAAGAAGGAGAAGGAGACAGGGAGAAGGAGAGAGAGAGAGAGGATGAGAAAGAAAGAGAGAGGAGGAGGGGCGAGAGAGAGGAGGAGAGATATATAGAAAGAGAAAGAGAAAGATGGAGAGAGAGAGAGAGAGAAGGAGAGAGAGACAGAGAGATGGAGAGAGACAGAAAGAAGGAGAGCGGAGAGGAGAGAAGATGAGAGAGAGCGAGGAGGAGGGGCGAGAGAGAGGAGGAGAGAAATAGAGAACGAGAATAAGAAAGAAGAAGTGAGAGAAAGAGATTATATTATTATATTATAATAACTATAATTCAGTTTGATTCCATCTGTTACAATCAATGCTCTTGGTGTGGCATACTGTCTGTTATAGTTTGCCTCTAAGCTATCAAGGAAAGGCCGGGTTAACCTTCCACTGGCGGCGAGGGATTTGAAGAGTAGTAAAATTGCTATACGAGATCGCTACCGCTGCACCACAGAAGGAGAAAGAGAGAGAAGAAGAAGAGATAGAAGTAGATAGAGAGAGAGAGAGAGAGAGGAGAGAGAGAGATAGAGATAGAGATAGAGAGAGGAGAAAGAGGAGAGAGAGAGAGAGAGAGGGGGGGGTTGCAAATTTGTTTCTCTTTCTTCCTTTTTTTTCTCTCTCTGTCTGTCTCCCTCTCTCTCTGTCTCTCCGTGTGTCTATCTAACTTTCTCTCTCACTCTCTCTCTGTCTCTTCGCCTGTCTCTCTAAGTCTCCCTCTCTCTCTCTGTCTCTCTCTCTCTCTCTTTGCCTCCCTCTCTCTCTCTCTCTAATTCTCTGTCTTTCTTTGTCTGTCTGTTTCTCTTTGTCTCAGTCTTGCCTTTCTTCTCATTCATATTCGTCTATCATTCTTTGCCACAGAACGGATTTTGTTAAGCAAAGGTACCTCCCAAAAGACGGATCTGATTTGCTTATTGTGAGATTAAGTTATATTTGCCATACGTATTTTGCCATACATGTATTCTTCATTCTCTCCTTATTAGCATGCAGATACTGACATTTATTTATCACAAACTTGATATTAAAATCGGTTGAATTCATCCGCGGATCGCAAGCTTCATGTCCTAAGTTTCACTATTTTTTTCTTTTACTTTATAAGTATATTAGAAAGTGCAAGGTTACTTAAACAAGTATGGTAAGTACTAAAACAGGTAAGGTAGGTGGAATTCCAAACTGCTTAGCATGTACTGCGGTGAGCATGACTGCGTTCTGATTAACAATCGCCCTTCGTCAGAGAGGGGGGGGGGGCGAAACATCACTAGACTCCACGTTCGTTAAATAAGAGAGTTTTGTACTTTGTGAAATAGCTTTTATAAAACGCGCAGGACAAGTCTATGGCCTGAACTTGCATGTCTGGAACAGGTGCGTAGGTGGTCCTTATTAGGAGCACTGACGAAAATAGGATTAAAAAAACAAAACAGAAACCCTCGCACTCGATTCTCGACTTTATTCCGCCATTCGGTAAGGTTCCCAATCTTCTGTCCCAAGAGCGGGGAGGGGAAGAGGAGGAGGAGGAGTAGGAGGAGGAGGAGGGGGAGGAGGAGGAGAAGGGAAGGAGGAGGAATAAGAGGAGGAGGAGGAGGAGGAGGAGGAGGAGGAGGAGGAGGAGGAGGAGGAGGGGGAGGAAGAGTAGTGGTAGGAGGAGGAGGAGGAGGAGGAGGAGGAGGGGGAGGAAGAGTAGTGGTAGGAGGAGGAGGAGGAGGAGGAGGAATTCCTAAGCCGTAGAAGAATCGTGGTAGAGAAGGAGGGAGGGGGGGGAGGAAGCTGAAAACCTCGCAGCCAGCGAGCGGCCGGACCGCAGCCAGAAGGCCC